TAGTTCATTTAATACAGAACTGTACAAAGCATGTATTTACAAGATTCAGAATAAAGAAATAATCAAAGCAAACTCTAACTTGGTGACTTTGCTTTTATTTGCATGATTCTCACATGCAGTACTGTAGTGTATCACTGAACACAAAACTATAATACTGCTATACGATATAGTACAGTCAGTCAAAATCACAGCACCATACAAACAAGGTGTATATTATCCAAAAAGATACTGACAATCTATAATCAAAATGTGCAAAACTGTACAAAAAAAAAGATGTGCCACAAGTTGAATAGTCATTAAACAGACAGGTAATGAAATATGGAAATTCTGATTTCCCTTTTCTGAAGGAATTCTTATTGAATGTAAAGACTTTATTTTTCTTTTTAAACTATTTCTTCCAATAAGTTTAATGGTACATTTTAGGTATATGATACAGTTACATTCATCATTGGGATCTTGTACTTTTACATGACATATTGTGGTTCTTATTTTTCCTCATACCCTTGCCCTCCCTTCACACCCTCACCCCGTCCCTATTTAAAAAATTGTTTTTCTATTTTTCCTTTTATCATACTTTTTTCTTTTTCCTTCTTACCCTTCCCTTAGCTCTGCCACTTCCCCTACTCCTTTAGACTTTTTCTTTCTATTACAGAATATCAATTATACACTTTGATACTTATTTATACTTTTAGTTTTTCACACCAGAGAAACTATTCAGTATTAATATGTGTATTCCATTTATTTCACTTAAGTGTATGGCCTAAATGTGCATACACATAACTATAAATATCTCTTGTTTCTCATTTTTATGGCTGAATAGTACTCCATTTTATTAAAATAAAAACACACATCTTCTTTATCCAGTATCCAGTTGCTGGGAAAATGGGCTATTTCCAAGTTTTAGAAGTTAGACACTGCCTCTACAAACATGGGTGAGCATATATTACTGTGATATTATTCTTTTAGTTTTGGGGGGAAGATACCCAGCAGAAGAAAAGCTGGGTCAAAAGGGACTTCTAATCCTAATTGTTTGAGATATATCCATGTTGATTTCCATAGTTGTCACACCGGTCTATAATCCCTCCAACCATAGAGAAGGGTTCCTTTCTCCCCACAACTCTGCCAGATTTGTTACTGGTTGATGTATTGAAAGCAGCCATTCCTTCTTTCTGGGATAAGGTGGAATCTCAGCTCTGTTTTCATCTGCATCTCTCCAATTACTACTGTGAAATGTTTTTCATATATTTATTTGCTGCTCATACTTCTTTGAAAGTGTTCATTTCAGATGCCCATTTTTAATTGGGTTGTCATATTTTGGGGGTCTGATTCTTTGTGTTCTTTATACATTTTAGATAGTAGAGCATTATCTGAGGAACAGCTCATAAAATTTTTCCCACATTTTAAGTTGTCTCTTATCTCTGTTGATGTTTTCTCTTGCAATGCAGAAGCTTTTTAAAATAAGATTGCATTTGTTGATTCTTTGTGGTAGTTTCCATGCTAGTGATGGATTGTTCATAAAGTCTTTTCCTATGCCAGTGTCTACCTAACTTATCTTCCAGCAAGTTTATTGTTTCTGTTTTAATTCTTATACCTTTAATCCACTTGGATTTTAGTTTACTGCACGGTGAAAGATAAGGTCTAGTTTCAATCTTTGGAAAGTTGAAATCCAGCTTTCCAAATGCATTTATTAAAGAGTTTATATTTCCTCCAGGGAACATAAGGATTTGCATCAGTATGAATATTTTTATATTTTTTAGTGTCTGGAATATACACAGATTCACTGTTTTTTTTACTTTTTTCACGCAGTTATTTTGTAATGAGTGAATGACCAAATATGCAAATAACTGCTAGAGCGACAACCCTTTCCATCACTGCTGAAGGTACAACTCCTTACCTTCCATACCTACATCTCCTCTTGATTGCTCTTGTAAACATGGATGAATGCAAATCTCAGTCAACAGCTGGTGCTAATAAAAATATAGTAGGCTGAGCAGGCTAAAAAAGAAGAAACTTAGTTCTCAAAGTTTTAGATGTTGTCAAGCTCTAGGTACAGATTTCAGAGATAGAGACCCAATGATGACCCTCTTTTTGGTGTGCACATGCCAAACTACTTTGTACTATTTTTCCAAAGCAGAGAGAGGAGACTGGTATTTCTTTCTTTCCTTGCTATAATTTCCTCAGTGACTCCTACTTGCAAATACCATCATATTTTGGGAAAATTATAAGCTATCAGAAAAACAGTTAAGCTGTTGTAAAATATAATTTTGTGACTGTGAATTTTGAAAGATGTGGGTATTTTTTATTAAAGAAATCTTAATTTCATCCAGTTGCTGTGCTTCAGTGATTAAGACACGTGGCAGAATAGCAAGAATAGAAACAAAAATCATAACTCACAGAAGCCCAGAAAGTCACCATTTTCATACATGAATGTTTATTATAACTACTGAATGGGCTTTACACTGAGGGAATGGACCAATTTCATACAAAGTTGCAAATAATTAAAAATGAATTTAGATTTTCGTATCAAAGGCAAATATAAATTTCAGCATCAATTACAAAAAGAAAGACTAAAGCTCTTTTACAAACCCAGTATCTCCTACAATCTCAATATATTAAATGCAGACTATGTGAAGAAATATAGAAAAATCAAGCCATGTTATAACTAACCAGGTAGGGGCCTCAATTGATTATTATAAAGCACATTAAAATGAGAAGTGTTCCTAAGCAATTTTAGCAATATATACAAAATACAAATGATTTATATTCCAACTACATACATAACTAATATGAACTTTTTTTGCAATATCATGGATCGAACCAATAAATTGTGTAGTGAGTAAAATTATCTCTTCTTTTTTATTTTTTATTTTGATGCAGGTTCTACCCATGTTACTATTTTTCCCAGGTTAGGCTAGAATTTGTGAACCTCCTTCCTGAGCCTCCAAGAGTGCTGGAATCACAGACATGCATTACCACTGTGACTTCAATTCATTTTTTAGGAATACATAAGAAGTTCACTTGAAAGAACATATGACGGTTCATTTATCCTCCTATTGGCAACAGAGGAAAATCAATAACCCATAATATGTAAAAAGACTCCACTATCTCATAATAACAAAAAATTAAGTTAAGGAAATGCTATCTTAAACCCATTGTTAGAGCAATGGAGAATGTCTGGGGATGGTATTGAAAACTAGGAATACCTAACAAAAGTGTAAATTGGTAAACCCTATTTTAAAATGTCTTTGGAACTGTCACAAATTTAAAAGTTGCACTGTTATAGCCAACAGATTTATCCCAGTAATTAAATTATGTTTCATTTCCTTCAGGAAATGTGGTAGAGCATATTCAAACAAAATTTATTTATTTGCAATAACAGAAAAACAACTAACACAATTTCACCACTATCAGAAATGTTCATTTTAATGTCATGCATAATATAAATATATGGATATTTAAAATAAATTATTAACTTCTAAGCACATTCTCAGAGTTTATTCTGAACACAATATTACAAGTAGCAAAAAGATATGGAATTCTTCCACTTATTTTGAACTTTAACAAGGTTAAACAGAAGCAAATTTATTTAATATATTGCACAGAGCATGTACAAGCTTGATAAAAATGCACTATGGTTCTATAAAAATGATACTTTACATGGAAAAGATAAGCAAATACTGGTGATCCAGTACTGGAAGTGTTGAGCCAATTCTTATGTGCATGATTACAATGCTTCCTTCTTTACAATCTTCTCTTTCTGTCTGTCTGATAAGAAAGTACTTAGGGCCCACGCAGGTAATGGAGTAAAAGCATTTATCTAACCCCCCCCTTTGAAAATGCTTACCTTTCTCCAATTTATCAAATAAGATAATCACAACTCTGTAGCACAGGATTAGAACATGCATTGAGGGCCAACAGGTAAGGTAGTATGGAGATGCAGTCTGGTTGACCCAACGAAAGTTGCTCATCAACACACCCAAGTAAGGACTCACTTTTTTATATCTGTGGTGCCTTATCAGACTGTGACATCTAATACACACACTTGCTGCAATCATTTGAGAACCCAGATGGAAGCAAGTGCAACCACGAGGCCATTTCAGGCAGGACTGAAAGCACCCTACTCTCTGCTAGCACATTTCCTGCTTCTTAGGTCTTTGTCATTACAGATAAGTATCTTATTTGTCTGAGTTTATTAACTATCTCAAAGGACAAATATCATCCTATAATGCCAGTTGTATATATAATCAAACTGAATATGATTGGTAGAATTTTAAACTACAACGATATAGTATTCTGGGATCAGGACTCATTCTTAACTTCACAGGGCATAAAAGTGAATTTGTTTTGCTCACAGTAGGATTATGGGTAGAATATAATTCTAAAGACTCCAACCAAATGATGCAGAGTGACTTCATTGAAAAATTGTGGCCTACAACCACTGGTTGCTTTGATTGATAGAGTAAGAGTTTACACACACACACACACACACACACACACACACACACACACACAGTAGTAATTGTCATAACCAGCATCATTGCCCAGGCTTTCCTGCATGAGGTCCAAGAAACAATTAATACTTAGAACTGTGATTATGTTTAAAATATCAGAGACTTTGACAAAGGCAAAATTAGGATTTAATCCAAAATAAATTGCAATGGGCCATTACATTACTTACTAATTTTAGGTAGGGACACTCTGACTCATCCAGAACCTTTTAATTTTAACCTATCCTATACAAGTACAGAGCAAATAACATATCACCGAAGAGAGGCTACCCTAGCAATAAGTTTCCACAAAGTGACCTTCATGTCCTTGTTCCTCAGGCTATAGATGAAGGGGTTCACCATTTGTGGGACCACATAATACATAACTGAAGCCATTGAAACTTTTTGCATTGAGTCAGTTACTGCAAAACTAATGTACACTTGAAAATCTGTCCCATATAACAAGGCAACAACTGAGAGATGAGAGCCATAGGTAGAAAAAGCCTTATATTTTCATTTAGGCGAGGGCATTCTCAACAAAGATGATACAATGTGAACATAAAGCAAAATGATCCCAAATGCAGGAACACCACCGAAAATGCATACTGCAATATATATGACAATGTTATCTACCAAAGTGTCAGAACAAGTGAGCCTGATAACTTGGGCAAACTCACAAAAAAAGTGGGGGATTCTCAGCTCTGTGAAGAATGACAGCCTCTTCATCATCAGCCTGTGTAGCAGTCCATCCATGATGCTAATGAACAAGGAGAAGAGAGTCAGTGAAACACACATGCAGATGTTCAGGATAACTGCATATCTAAAGGGATGGCAGATGGCCACATAGCGGTCATAGGCCATTGCTTCAAGGAGACAAGTCTCCAAACCAATAAAAACCAAGACTAAACATATCTGAGCAAGGCAGCCTGTTTGGGTAATGCTGTGATCCTGTGTTTGGATATTCATCATCATCTTTAGAACCATTGAAGTGCTTAAACATAGGTCATTAAGGGACAGGCTGTACAGGAAGAAGTACATGGGGGTGTGGAGGTGAGAGTCAAAGTTGACAGCCAGGATGATGAGTAGGTTTCCTAGGATACTGACCAGGTACATGGACAGGAACAGGTTGAAGATTAGGGGCTGCAGTTCTAAATTATCTGTCAGTCCCAGGAGAAAAAAAATTCTGAAGTACCTGTTTTGTTTTTAGCTTCCATTATTTGCTGGTCTATTTTAGACATGGTGATAAAACAATATATTATAAAAACTCCAATGGCTGTAAATCAATGGACTACATCAGGCAAAAACATCCCATGGACATCCGGCAGTTTGGAGTTTTGCCTCTGCAGTGATAATTTAATGATCTATTTTTAAACCATTGTTACTGTAGCATCAGTTTCTGACATCACTAAGAATGAATTCACTCATAAAACCCCCTACTTGGTGCCACCAAAAAAAGTAGGTAAGTAAACTAATGAAAATGGCTAATTCATTTCAAAGTCATTGAGCTTGAGAAGGGGAAGCTTTCTGCTCTGAAGTAGTTGGGACTTGTTCTTGGGCAGAGAAGGAGACCATCAGAATGACAGCTGGGTTAGCATTGGTGCAAACAGAAGAGGAGGGATGAAAAGTACAGCAGATGTTAATTTTTTGAAAAAATACTGAAAGATACACAGCCATTAATTGACCTCAAAATATTATTCCATGTTTTAAATGCACTTATTTTCTTGCCACTTTTTAAAAAGAAGTTTGGAGAGCGTCCATATATGTGTTTATTTACCCTGTCATGGCTGAATGCATATTCTGTGGTGATTGCACTTTCCTAGTCATTATGACTTTGAGGGGAAGCAACATGTTTCTACTGTCAGATCTGGTGAATAAGGTACAGGAAGAAAGAAGACAATATTTCTATGATTGTCTTCCTCTTGGATGACACTGATATAAATAATCTCTTTATTAATTTTTCACATCTCATAAAGACATTCATGAAGGAGGATCTTCAGACCTGCCTCACAAAGTGTCAAGAATGGCGAGATAAATAGGTTTGAAGAGGGCAATATTCGTAGAGGGAAATGGTAGCAATTCAACTTTTAGTAGAATCAAATTTTGAAATTTATAGTAACTTTTGTCACATCTTGCACATGAAATGTGTCAAGGTAGAGGCATCTGACAGCAGGGATGTGGAGGGCTTTCTTCTCATTAACTTGTATATACCATCACCTTCTTTTTCTCCAAATTACATTCAGCAACTACCCTCATTTCTGAAGGGAATACAAGGGATTTCATATTCTATTTTCCTTCAAGATGAATGATGTTGAACAGCTTACTTGAATATTGAAGATGGATTATGAAATATCAGAAAAACAAACAGAATAATTAAGCCAGTGGGGCACTGGTCAAGTACAATCATCCCAGGAAGGAGGCTATGTATGATTGTGGAAAAGAACAGGGAAGCTCTGAGGTGTTTTTGCTGGCTGACTTACAAGGTCTTTTTATCCTTCCAGCATACAGTATCCAAAGGGCCTCATTAGTCTGGAAATATTACTCTTCTGATCCTAGGATGACATATCCTTAAGGACTAAGATTCTCTGAGGTCAGAATGGGTGATTTCCTGACTCTAGGGGCCAGGTGTGCCCAGTAAATTCTCCCCATTATTTCTGCTTAACTCTGTTTCAGAGACTTTCCATGCAAAATGCACATCACTTGTCTAGGAAACTTTAGTGTTGCTTTTTAGTTAAAAATTAAGGGTTGCTATCTATTTTACGATATCCAAAAGCTACATTCCTATTTGTGATGTGAAAGTTTGTGGGTATAAATAATTACAACATTTGCTAAATATTATAATATTACAATAAACTTGGTTTTTTCTTTTATACATCATGGATGGTATATCTTAGTTTTTATTCTTGAATTTGTACAACAGATTTTAATGTACTTTTTGTTATTACTGCCAGTAACCAAGAATATATAAAGAAGTCACTCTTAGAACTGGATAAAAATCTTTTTAAATTTTCTCAGAATACTCTACTCCATATAAGAAGACAGGGAATTGATTTGTTTCTTTGTTTGTAGTTCATATTTAAGTTTAATTACAAAACCCTTCTCCACTGTTGGTGGGAGTGCAGACTGGTGCAACCACTATTGAAATCAATATGGAGATACCTCAAAGAGCTGAGACTAGAAGGTCCACTTGACTCAGCCATCACTCTGCTGGTATCTTTCCAAAAGAACTAAAACAATCATTCACAGTGGTATATGCACACCTATGATTATAGCAGCACAGATTGTAATAGCTAAAACTTAGAAACAGCCCATTTGCCCAGCAGTTGGAAACTGGATAAAGAAGATGTTGTTTTTCTATAAAATGGAATACTACTCAGTCATAAAATATTTGAAATTAGATTCATTCATAGGAAAATTGATACATATTGAGGACATTCCTAAGTGAAATAAATAATTCACACATGTAAATACCGAATAGTTTCTCTGGTGTGAAAAACTATAATAGTACATAAGATCCTATTCAGATAATTTACAATGTTAAATGGGATGAAAAAGACTAAAGATGTAGGGAAATTGGGAAGGGTAGGGGAAAGATAATAAGGGAAAAAAATATGAAAAAATGGAAATAAAGTGTTTGTATATGGAGAGTGGATAGGGGATGAAGGGAGGGCAGAGACAGGGGAAAAGTTGAGAACCAAGACCTGTTGTGTAAAGGTACCAGATCCCAATAATGAAAGTAATTATACTGTATACCAAAAATGTATAATAAATTTAATTAAACACAGATCTAAAAAATAAGTTTGCTATGTTCACCCTTTCTGTTGCATGAGATATATTACTTGAAATTCATGACAGCATGGCCTTGTCTTTTCTTTCTTCACCATCCTGATCTAATTCATTTTTTAAAATAAAAATAATAAGGGCCGGAGGTTTAGCTAAGTGGTATATCACACCTCTCAAGTGCAAGGTTCTAAGTTTGATCCCCGATTAAAAAAAAAACAAACAGAGAAATAATAGGTGAAGGGTACAAACAATCACTAGCCTTGTAAAACAAATTTAAGTATTCCATGTAGTGCAGACAAAGGTAATATCAACAATAAGATCAATTTTTCCTGGATGCAAAGAAATAATTCTATCACAACAGCTGAGTGAATAGAATCCCAGTGAGCCTGTTTTTCTCTCTAAGCAAGACAGTACTTCTTTCTAAACAAGGAGGGCTCAGTGATCTATGAGGAGATAGAGCAGTTTCCAAGCCCAGAGATACAGTATTTTGGTTTGAGAGATATGAGTGGAAGGACTCAAGATGTGGACATGTCATAGACCGGGGTGGTGAACCATATGAAGCAGACTACAGCAGGCTGATGCTATCACTGAAAGCTCTAAAAGGTTTCCCTTTGCTAGCATAGACCCAGGGATGTGGATTGCAATCAATCATGTTTCAGAAGATGCTATAAGTAATAATGTAACCAAGATCCCCATGGATTATTGGATACATTCTCCACATCATGAACCCTCAGAAACCATCAGACTCAATTTAAGAGCTGAGCTGTAACTGGAGCCAGACAGGGGTACCTCTGCATCTGACAAATGAAAATTGAGCTCAGAGCTCTTCATTATATGTTATTGCATGCTATCATTTATATGTTCTTCTGTAATATTTCTAGTTGGATTGGCTTTGAGAAAATGTGGGAAAAGATGAATTGAGTGATTGAGGACTGAGTTAAACTTTGTGGAGTTTTGCCTATGAGGTAAAGAGAACAGGCCTGCAATCTAAGGAGAAAAAGCTGTGTATAGAAACTTTAAAGCATTTCAACAGAAATTTATATCCATTGTATATAAGGATGTCTGACGGTGCTGTTGACCTCATAACACCCTTTTATGTGACCATTGAGAAGGAGCAGATTTGAAAATCTAAAGGTTCAAAAGGACTTCATCGCTTAGTTCTGGATCAAAATGGGAACCACAATTAAGATGAAAGGAGACTCTGTACACTTATGAGGATTGTTATGATGAAGCTTTTTCAAAAGTGGATGAAGATTAAATCTATGTCTATTAAAGTGGTATTTTCACATTTTTCCCAGCAGAGAAAAGAAAGGAAGTATACATAAGTGAGGATATGAAAGTTGAGAAAAATAACACTATTTTCAGTGTGCCCTAAGACAAATATTAGAAGGAAAAATAAATACACTTCAAATACAGCTGTGCACAATCTTTTTCAGCTGTATGGGGAAATTAAGAAAGATTTCAAAGTCAGTGAGCAAACTATGACGCCTACTTCAAGAGCTAGCATACTTGAGGAAGATCAATAACTAATTAATAAAAATGTCTAACCAGGGAACTCCTTCACTGTGTGTGAAATGCTTGGTATGTGAGATTACTGGAACAACTACGTGAAAAAATGAAGTATTAATTCCCAAAACTTACTGTTTCCAATATGGTTTTGGCTGATCCCTCATCATCACCTGCCACTATTACATCCTCTGTCCTCTTTCTCTACACATCCATCAAGAAGGCCATTGACAAGCAGTCTCCCCCTCCTTCTGCACAGGACATGAATTTGTCCCCCAAAGTTTCTTTGCAATCACTCCCATATTTATTTACAATATCAGGAAGGTGGACAGCACATTTAAACTCAAGTAAAGTATATCTAGAAATAGGTATAGATATATCACACTAAATCATGAGACTACAAATTCCCTTATAGATCAAGACCTATTGAATGTGGACCTTAAGAGAAAACACTGAAAGAGAAAACCATAGTAAAATTAAAAACTTGTGCTCACATATTAAATGTCATAAAATGTATGAAAAAGTGACAGTCTTAAATAATAAATAATAATAAATAATAAATCCAGGCTTTAGAGTACAGTCCTGTAAACACAATATTCTGAGAGGCTGATTCAGGAGACTTATGCTTTTTAGCAAAGCATGGGTAATTTAGTAACTGAGTAACCCACTTCTAAAAAATTTCAAAAGAGAGAGAGAGAGAGAAATGTAGGGCTGGTCTTGTAATTCAGTTAAAATGTCCTCGATTTAATGCCAATATCACCAAAAAAGAGAGAGACAGAAAATTTATTTGCACAATACAAATGCAAAGAGTTGGTATTCCAAATACA